CCCCACCCCTTCCTCTTTCTCTCTCACTCTCTCTCCGAGAGTCTCACCATCACTCTCTCTCCCTCTCTCTTTCTCCCTCTCTCTCTGTCTGTCTATCCTTTTGCCTCTCCCTCTCTCCGTCTCTCACCTGTATGCCGGCTGAACTTCCTCTCCAGATCGATCCTTAGTAAGTTGGTCTCACTGGCATCAGCGCCGATAGTCAACGTACTCCCATATGACGCTGACCCGCCAGTCATAGAGTCAGCCTCACCCGGCGTGCCATCGGCGGGGTTTGGCGGCATGAGCCGATCCATCTCAATCGGCAGTTTCCGTTCATCTACGTCAGTGCTCGGAGACTTGGCGACGTTGATGTTCCGGCCTATATCCTTCTCATCATCTCCTACATCCATCATGTGGTCTGCCCGATCTGAAACACAATATAGCGGGTCTTTTTTTTAACAACGTACTTCTGTAGGGTCAAGGGACAGTTTTTATGCGAAACCTTAATCGATGACGGAGGAAATGGAAAGCTCATCTGCTAATGTGCTGAATTGAGCTGCCAATGAGCCCGGGAACTATCCTCAGCGTGGCATTCTATGACTCTGGTTATATCATAAGTTTTTAGACTTTCACTCTCAATTTTGGTTCATAATACACAGCCCACTCTTATAATAATTGGTAACATTTGTATAGCGCACATTCCCACTCAACAGCAAACTCTATGCGCTTTATAATCTATACCATTACCGCAGCAGACCTGAGTGCATTCTGAAACAACCTCTACTTTATGCAAAGTCTACGTACAGTGCAAGCAGCTATTTTACAGGGGATAAAACACTAACGTACTGACAAGATCTTTCGCTGCCTACGGCCAAGTGCCCATTCCCACCTGGGTGAAGTGAATTATCATTATTATTATTATTGCTGTTTTCATTATTGTAAATACGCTTAGTCAACAATTTATGGAATTAGAAAGATCCTTTACCCTTTGCTTTTTCGTTACCAGCAAATGTACAACAGAAAGTGACTTTTGATACTGGAGTTCTTTTTGGACAAGATAATCTGTCGATGAATCAAACGTAAGGAAAATTGTGGCAGACAATCAAACTATACACCGCTATTTGGAACAGAATGATAATCCACTTCCACGTTTGGTCATTAGTTTTACTTGTTGATTTCATTTACGTATCCACTATCTACCAATTGCCAAGTACGACAGCCGGGTGAGCAGATTAAACTGGTAAAATACCTATCCTTAAGGGTACAGCAACCTCTTTCCACACAGAGAAATCGAACTCACAAACTTAAACAGCTTTTAAAAAGAAAGAAAAGTGCATGTTGAAGGCCTTACAATTCACCCGGAAAGGCTTTCTCAAGAGGTAGAAGGAGAAAAAAAAGCGTGATCCCCATAGTTTTAAATAAGAGTTACAATTAAAGTTTATTTTCACGACGAACATTGTAACTTGGAAGTATTTGGATCTCGAACGTTCCTAGGAAAATATCCCTACTAAGGATCGTTTGAGATCTGTGAGCCACGACGAGTGGGTAAACAGACATAAAAAGCAATTTTTTTATTCCCATGATGGATATCATATAAGTGATTTATCTCACAGCTCTGCACTTCTCCTATCATTGATTTCATTACTGCAATGGCATGTTAAGCGAGTTTGGGAATTATTTGTCACGAACATTTAATTTCTTGGGAGGAAAATCAAAGTAATCAACATTTAAATGTGAGGTAGCGTGGTGGAATCAGGCTCTCGTCAATTTTTGGGCATGTAGAGTTAGTGGTATCATCTTAAAGCTTATTCACTTGTCTTTATTTGGATGAAAAAAAAAATCCATTTATCTTGAATACAAGTCGAAATATTTGTGAAAGAAGGAGGTGGGGGTCACTTGTTTTCAGAGGTAAAATTAGTGAGAAAATGACCGCCAAAGATTAGTTATTTCCTTAGCTTAAGAGTCCGTGGTAACTGAAAATTTACATTTTTGTGCCTTTAATCAACGACTTCCTGAAAAATCCACACAGAAATGAGTTCTTTAATGAGCATGATAGGTGTTGAGCCAAAAAAAACACAAATTTGATAAAAATTTCACAAACCTGCGGAAAAATGCAAGTTTCTTCACTTTGATTATTTTGACGAGAGTCTGATTCCACCACGCTGCCTCACAAATGATCGTTTGCAACAAACAGCGTTATTCCCTCAAAAGTAAAAATCTTTTAAAAAAAACCCTACAATCCAAAATACGAAAACAAAAGCAAAAACAAAAACAATCCTCCGCCCTCTCCCCTACACCCCCCCCCTACATCTTCTCCCCCCTACATCTCCTCCCCTTTCACCACCAACAACAAACAAATGTACAAACAATTAACCCACAATTTTCCAACGACTAACGAATCGATCTTTTCCACCCCCTCATTCCTCGTACAAATTAGATAATTAAAGAAGCGGGAAGCTCCGGCTTGGGGTGAGAGGGATACTACGGAAAATTAAAGACACCTCATAAAAATAGACATCCCTATAAGGGAACCAAACTCAGATCTTTTCCATTAAAGAGCAGAGAGCTTAACCACCGCATCACAGACACTCGTAAACCTTTACAACATAGACACCAGTGACCTCTTGCACCTCAAACGTCAGTGAACACAGACCAAGACATGCAGTTATGGCACGGCAGTTTTCAAAACCACGTCATTTCGACCCCATTATGAGTGTTTCATTATAGATGAAAGATTATCATCTATTCCTATCCCTGGAAAGTTTAAACAAAGATGCTGCCCAAAAGGGCTGTGGATAGAGCGACCGTAGTTCAGATCCAAAACGAGGCATTTCGAAATGTTTGTCTTTTAACACGTTACTATACATCGTTTGGCTCTTCAGTCTCCTCCAGTGGATATTGACCCCAGTCTTGCAGTTTTGGGACTGATACTATAATGTTCCATAACAAAACTGACCCGGTAATGAGGTAGCCTGCGTTCTGAGAACCATCGTACCTTGTTCCCATAACAGATTGTTAAGACCATAATGGCAGGTGAGATACGGAGTACAGCTACGAGCTTACAAAGCACAGAAAATACCACTTGGATACAGACATCACATTATTTCCACTTGCTATATTATACTCTATATCTTTATGCAGGCACATCTTAACCCCACTTACATACGACATAACTTACTGGAAGATCTCTTTTCCCGATAAATACGTGGACAGTATACCTGGATTAAAATGTAAAATCAGCATACTCTTACTTATTAAGATGTATCATGCCAAATAAGCCCGGTTTTTTTTTTCTTTAAAGTTGTATTTTGTGTTACTTAAACAAAATCTCTGTAATTGAGATTTTTTTTTGCCAAATGGAAAAATGTAATGTTTTTTTGTAAGCATAGAATACCAATTTGATAAAAGAACATTAATTTGAATACTCTATTTTAGGACAAGTAATTATGTTGCATACCGACTCGGTTTAATCAGGTGCTTGGCAATTTTTGTTGTTGTATATATAGAGATAAGATGAGATAAGTTACTTCTTTATTGTCCAGATCCTGACACATTGGTTTGATGTTTCACTACGTGCACACATACAGACACACACACACACACACACACACACACACACACACACACACACACACACACACACACACACACACACATACTCATGCACACAGGCGCAGGCTTACAGTTACAGTCACATGCATAATATAAACAGTAAAATAAGCAATAATAATGTTAAGCCAAATACATACACAGTATTTTCCTGAAACTTGTTTATTTGTTTGGCTTTTGGTGAACAAAATACCCCTTTATCTTAAACAGGAGGGGAGGCATTTGCGATTGACAGAAATGAGGGTCCCCTGATGTCAACGGTTAAGTCAGCGAGAGAATTCTTGGAGACTGCACACTTACATTCGTGTGCCTTTTATGAACGTTTTGCAATAACATCCATACAAAAATATGTTCTTATAAGACAAAAATGAAAAAAGTATTTGTGAGGCAGCGTGGTTAAATCAGGCTCTCGTCAATTTTTGGGCACATTGAGTTATTGGTATCATCTTAAAGCTTGTTCTTTGTCTTGCTTTTGATGAAAAAATTACCCATCCATCTTCAATAGAAGTGGAGATATTTTGGATTGAAGGAGGAAGGAGTCACCTGATTTAAGGGGTAAAATTATCGAGAAAATGGCCGCCAAAGCTTGGTAAATTCCAAAGCTGGAGAGTCCATGGAAACTGTAAATTTATATTTTTGTGCCTTTAATCAACGTTTTCGGTGAAGTCCTCAAAGGAATGTGTTTGTAAATGGACATAAAAGCTGTTGAGTCAAAAAACAAAAAAATTGACAAAAATTTCTAATCAGGGAGAAAACTGCTGTTTTTCTTCGATTTCATTATTTTGACGAGAGCCTGATTACACCACGCTGACTCACATTTGAGCACCTCCCTCCCCGGAAAAAAGATAAGATTTGCAAAGAGGTAAAACAGAGTGCTTTGTTTCTTCAATTAAATTATTTTGACGAGCGCCTGATTTCCCCACGATGCGACACACATATTCTAACATCTATAAACAAAAGAAACCAAAGCATTCTCGTCCTCATTGTGAACTTTTGAAACAAAAACAAATAATCTCACACGAACACAACATTGATCGGCGTTATTACAAGTAAACAATCGCACTGTAGGCCACTCACCTTGACTCAAGAACTCAGAATTGTGGGCGTCACGAAAACAGTGTCCAACAATAGCAAATTTGGACAAAAATAGAACTTCACACGTCACGAAACGTTGTTCCAAAACAATGACGCAAAAATGACGTAAGGGTAATATCGCCTGAACCTGTACCTGCCTGGGCAGGCTGACTGCTCACCTACACGAGATCACGTGAGAGAGTGACAGGCTGGGCCTGTCGTTCTGAGACAAGAGGCTCGCAGTGGAGGAGTGGGGAATGCCACCACGGACTGAGGGGAAGCCAGGAGTGAGCACTCTTCGATACCTAGGGGTATCGAGTGTATATATATATATATATATAATTGTTGTTTTTTTTTTCATTTTGAAGAACCTTATAAAAGTGTGACCTGCTCTAGAAGATAGTTCACTCTCTGAAAAGATAAAAGACTTATTTTTGCAGATATCACCATAGATGTAGGCTGATAAAGACGTTTTGTTTCTCATAAAAATTCATAAAGAACACTCTTTGCTCTTATTGTATTGTTTGTATACAAGGTATACCATTTTCTTAAAATATTGTAAACCTGAATTTCACCCCCCCCCTCCCCCTTTTCCCCCACCCATACACAGACATACACAATAACAATATACATAACAAAGGCACACAAAAACAAAGCTGAACGAGAGCAATCAAAAAGACCACAGCGCTGTTCCACTTACCCCACACCCCCCTCACCCAACACTCTTTCTCAATACCTTA